TCGGAAAAAAAGGTTTCATCTTACATTTCAATTAGTTATTGTCTGAATTTCATTCTTTTCTAATTACTGGCTTGCTAAGCTTGGGCTGTGCGTTCTTTTTCAAGAATGCAGGAGGAGGTGATATCTAAAATGAAGAATATCAGGTTTATTGAAGGAAAAGTGTAAACTGTGATTAAAATTTTAATTGTAGATTCGAAGAGAATGTGTATAAGTCAGAGGGTGGTGACAGTGAAGGCGAAGAAAGTGATGACAGTAGCAAAGGTCGAAAACGCACAGATCGTAAAGGAGATCGAAAGAAACGCCGTGAAGATGACGAATATCGACCGGATGAATTAGCTTTTAACAAGAGCGAATACTTCAAGGTACAAAGTTTTACGTTTTCATATCCGAGTTGGCAGTAGTACTTGATAATGAGTGCAGTTGGGATATGAATTTTTAAAGGACTGTGCATTTTTTTGCGTTTCTAAAATGTTTGGCGGCAATCTTTTCGTACCTAGAGACTCGCTAGGGTGTTGACCTTTTTTCTGGCTTTTTCACTTTCATTTGCTTTTTAGTGATGACTTTTGCCTATTAAAAAAATTTTGCTTCTACTGGAAATTCTCTGCTGGCATTGCCCTGGTCATCGCCTTACAGGAAAACAGGGGTGCGTGAAAGTTTCACGCCATTTTAAGACGCTGAGCTATGTCATTTTGGATGCAAATTTCTTTCCACGACGAGCCAAAAATTACGCTTTTTTGCGAGACTTTAATTATAGGCATTTTTTAAAATAATTATCCAAGTAAGCCAGAAATTTCACATTTGCTTAAAAGGGAGGGTGGGGGGTGGGGGGGAGCATAATAGCGTTGGCACATTTTCAGGGCTAATTGACCTTTTAGAATTCACAGTCACAGCATTTATGTTCTAGATTTTATTTGCTACCTTCCATGATTGGCTTACAGGCTGTTGGATTTGTCGTGAGAGTTTTTAGGGATTGATTATGGAAGACAAACTGTAGAGCAGCTAGGGTACCACATTTAGCAATTTTTTAAGTAATGTTTTCGGAGATAAGCCCAGGTTTTTGCTGTTTCTTGAATCGTTTGGTTCCTGCGTGTCGTCTTTGTATTCTTCCTTTTTTTGCCTTAATATTAATTCCAGTTTTGGATTTTCAAATTTATAAATAAAAGTTCAGATTGAAAAAGTACTTGGACAGTTTGGTTGGGGTCGATGGAAAGTGATGCGTGGCATGTGTGATGTGAAAGAATGCGTCACTGAAGCTGACATTGAACACATCTCAAGGTTCGTTTGACATATTTGTGCTAGAAATTTGGCGCAGCTCCCATCATTTTTTGATAATATTAGAACTACTAAAGTTGCTGTGATTGGCGGCACTGCATCGTTCTACGGCTGCTGCTGCTGCTGAGGGTGTTCTCATGCTGGATTGTTTAGATTGTAAGGGGTACAGTCTGCGTTGTATTTCGGCGGTTATGTGTCAGCTTGACATCTTATCCACTGTTTGGCCATAGTATAAATTGTAGAGAAATTATGTTAATAATGTTATTGAAAGAAAAAAACGAACTTTAACCGGCTATATTTTCCAGAACATTGCTGCTGCACTGTATTCGTGAATATCGTGGTGATGAGAAAATACGCGAATTTGTTTGGCGTTTGATAATCCCCAAAGGCGCCCAGGTCGCCGGTAAAAATGCACCAAAAAAGAAAAGTACCGTTCTGACATCAGTATTCCATGAAGGCTGGGCAGCACTGCCCGAATACAATCCTCCGGCTTTTGCTGTGGACTCCTCTTTCCAGCGCCATGTTCACCGGCATT